TATAATAACTTTGTTTCTTTCCCTGGCCTTGAGGAGGCTGCAGAAGACACCAAGCCGAGAGAGAAAAATACAAAGGTAAAAAAAAAAATTATCAGCAAGCCTCTGCAATCAATTCAGTGCACATTCATCTGAATTCAGCAAATAACTGGTAGCAAATGTGAGTCCGTACAATTTTCCTTCAAAGCACTGGAAAAACTCTTGAAAAGTCCTTGAATCTGTTTTAAGGAGAGGCCCTGAGATAATAAGGGTCCGACAGAACCAGAACTGAAGCTTGTTTTTCCACCCTGAAAAAAGCAACAAACAAAACAGATCCAAGTGGTTGCAGGCACCGGGGAGTCGCCTCTCAGGAGCTGAGTTTGAAGACCCCAGGCACTTTCTTCCCAAATGTACTAGCAGTGTGGCCCTGGCCCCGGGGGCGTGGTACGGCAGCATCTATCTGGGGGCCTCCGAGGCGGTCTTGTAATCGCCTCGGTGTGATCTGCTCCGGCAGAAGGTGCGCCTGGCCGGATCCAGCCCGCCCTTCAGCCAAGGCGAGCTTAGGTCTGCACTTTTTCCTTCTCCTGCTATGAAAAGAGGCTTTTACTTCTCTCCACCCCGCCCCTCGCCCTGTGAAGTTTGTTTTCAGGCTGTAAACTAGCTCGACTCTCGGTTTCCATCTCCGTCGCCTGAGATTCACCGCATTCACCAGCCCAGGTGGCACAGACGAAAGCTGAGCTATCTTTGTGCACGTAGTGGGAGCCACCGCGTGGCCAAGAGCAGCACCGGGAAACCGGAAGCGTTCCTGCCCCGGGCTGCGGAGCGCCGGCAGGGTTAAACCGGCCCGAGGCGTGCTAGGCGCAGCGGCTCAGGCAGCGGCCCAGGCAGCCAGGCCGCCTCGGAAGTTAGCAAACAAAGCGTCTCCGCAGTAACCGCCCGGTGCCAGACGCGGCTCCAGCCACTCAGACCGCGGAGTCGCTGCGTCGCGGGGCCCGCGGCTCCTCCTCCCTCCCGGCTCGCCAGCGGATGTGAGCCACCAATCCCGGCAGCAAGCGACCCTTCAAATGCCCAGCCGAGACGGCCTCCAACGGGCGGCGGGGACGCGCCCCTGTCCGCACCCCCCCTGGCCGGCGCCCCGGGCGCAGCGCCGACTCGTCTCCAGCCGCGCGGGACCGGAGCGGGTGGCTTCTCCCGGGGGCCGCGCCCCCGCCCACCGCAGGCTTGGGTCTGAGGTGTGTTCCCCTCGGTGCCTGCCGAGCAGTCGGCGAAGCCGCACAAGAAAAACGCACCCTAAGGTGCTGCCTGGTGGAGTGGCGCTTTTTCCCTTGTCGGTTCGTTTGAAGTCCAGGTCGCTAGAAAACCCACCCGGGCTTTTTCACCTCTGGCCTCCACGCACTCGCGGGCGGGGGAGGCTGGCTGTAGTTTTCAGCGTGTCCCACTCTGAAGCTCCGAGTCTAGTTCCTGCCCTTCTCCGGTTTAACCTTCCTCTCCTGGAGTTTCTGCCGCCGGGGTCTCCGTCCCGGGCGCAAAACAAAACGGCCCAGCGCGGAAACCGGAGCCGACTCGGGTGCTGACGTCTCCGCTGGGCTTGTTGACGTTCAGAGTTTCTCTTTCTTTCTTTCTTTCCAGTGGTAGGGGAGTCTGACTGGGGCGCACGGCAGCTCATTTGCTTTGCTTCAGAACCACAGGACCTGCCTACGTGAAAGGCAGGCGCGCGGGAGAGGAGGCCGCGGGTTTTGGGATCTCCCCCAGGCATCTGGTCTTTCAAAGGGGGTTCGTTCGGGAGCGCCTGTCGGGGCTCCGCCTCTCCGCCGGAATAAACCGACGTGTGTTGACTTCCCGGCAAGTTTCCGTTTGAAATACCGGGGGGGTCCCCGGGCGGCGCAGGAGTCCTCGGAGGAAACGCTGTTCACCGAAACGCACGAAGGCGCCAGGTGTAGGGGTCCGGCGGGGGCGGGGGCCGTCCCCGAGCCGAGACGTTTAAAGAACACGTGAGCGTGACAAGTGTCGCGGCGCAACGTGTTCGATTTCGAAACCGCTCTGCAATCCAGTCCGGAACCCGCCGCTGCAGCCCCGGGCAGCGGGCCGGCGTTCGCCCGGGTGGTTTTCTCCGCCCCGCCCCGCGCCCCGAGGTGGCCGTGGGAGGAAGCGCCTGGAGTAGGGGGTGCGCCGCGCCGCCCGCGTGCCCCGGCAGCCGCGCTCGGGAAGAAGTTGCTCCTCGTCCCGAACACTTTTCCCCTCGGCCCCGCCCCTTGAGTCACCGGCCGCGATCTCCGGCGGCCGATCTCCGGCGGCCGGAGCGAGCTTGGTGGAGTTCGGGTCAGCTGTCAAAAAGCGAGCGGCTTTTCCACCCGGGGCGGGGCTGGCGGGGCTGGCGGGTCCTCCCCCATCTGTTGCAATTTTCCAGCCGCGCGCTCGCCACCCGGGAAGAAAGGCTGCGGGCCGGGCGAGGCGTGCGAGCGGCGCGCGCGCGGCCGGCGGGGACCGTCGTGTTTCGGGGCTTGCCCCCCCCCCCGCCGAGGGGCCGGTGGCGGCGCCCCGTCCGTCCGGGCCCGGCTGGAAGGCGCGGGGGGAGGGGCGGCGGGAGGCGGGGGCCGGGCCGGCGGGCGGGGCGGAGCAGGACCTCCCGTACCTTCCCTCGCGCCCGCACTCTGACAGCGCCGAGGTGCACCGGCGGGAGCGGGGAACAAAGGAGCGCCGCGGGGAGGGAGCCCGGCCGGCCGCCAGCGCCTCGGCGGCAGGAAGCCCAGTGTCACTCGCTATCCCCCGAGGGCGGGACCCGAGAGCCGTACGGAGCGGTGACGGCCGGGACGCGTCCTACAGGTTACTGGCGTCGGCGGCGCAGGAGCACGGCGGCTGCCCCGAGACCCCTGCCCTGCCTCGCGCCGGGAGAGCCGGTCCAGGATGAAAAGCAAGAAAGGTGAGGCAGGCGCGGGGTGGCGGGCCTGGGCGAGTGACTCGGGGACTCTTTCCGCCCGGGGCTGGGTCCGGCTGGGACGCCTGCCGCCTCTTTGTTGAGGCTGTCTGGAACGGCAGCGGGTGCGCTGCTCCCAGACACCACACGAGGGGCTGCGTGGGAGGCGAGCTCCACGCTGCTGGCGCTGGGTCAAGAGCACGCTCTGCGCCTTGTTTGTGCGCCTCCAAGGTTCATTGTCTCCGCCGCCTTCCCACGCCGCCGCGTGGCTCCGGCTCCTGGGCGGGCGTGGGGTCCGCTCGGGGGGCACCCGCGCCTTTGTCTGAAAGGTGGTTCCCGGGGTCCACGTCCCTGGCACTCTTCTTTGGGGATGTGGTGTTTTTCACAGTCGGAGGAATGTGACCCTGGACCCCCGCATCGCCCCTCGGGAGCGCACAGCTTTGGAAAGCGAAGACTTTTCCAAACTACCAAGTCTCCCGAAAGTTTCCCACGACGAATGTGGGGCGAGATGAGGAGTTTGGGACACGGGGTCAGCAATTTAAAGCGGCGTGCAGCGAGAACCTGGCCAAGTGTGACAGGCAGGCTGGGCTGGAAGTGCGGAGAGCGAGACTGTCATTGTTTCCACGAAGCGCTCTGGAAGATTTACAACTAAAACTTGCCGTCAGTCTGGGTTAAAAACAAAATACACAGGGGGGAAAAAAAACCCCGAAAGGTCAGAGACTATGAATCCCTTTTGAAGTTAACTTTGGAGTTCTCAGCTCTGAGGTCCCCCGAGTCCCCCCTTGTGGATGGGACAGGGTTCTCGGTGGTGATTTACGTGGAAGGGCTCAAAACAAGTTGATGGCCAGGGGACCGAACGGGGGCGGGGGGCGCAGCTGCGCATGCCCAGGAGCGCCCGTCCGGGACGCGCAGTCTTCAGACCGGGGTCGCCGCTCTGCGCTGGGGTTCCATTGGGGGTCTGGTGGGAGACCTCGAAACGCGCGGGACCCCCCACGCTTCCCCAGCGGGAGTGAAATCGAGCGTGCGCAGCCAGGTCTCTGGGGGAAGGCCTCCCCGCAGGCCCTTCTCCGAGGGACACCGTGGAAATCCGGGCGCTTCAAATTGGGGACATTTAACTTGGCTCCGGAAACGCGCGGGGCGTCTACGCCAGGTCGTCGCCGTGGGAGCACGGCGGTCTCCTGCGCCTGGACGCCTTCTCCGTTCTGGTGGGGCTCGGGCGCAAGTGGGGGGGGGGTCTCTGTTCGCAGAGTTGTTGAGGGGCACAAAATGCAAAGCTGAGTGTTGGGGGGATGGGGAAGACTCCATTGTCTCAGCTCTGGCGGGATCGGCTCGGATCCGCGCGCCCCCCCCGTACCCCTTCCCCGCCCCACTCGGCACCGCCCCCTGGCGCCCCCTCCCCCAGCCGGGACACAGGCTGGGCCTGCAGGCCGGCGCTCGGGAAAAGCAGGCTCCCCAATCCTGCTCCGCGCTGACTCCTGGGAAACAATGGAAGGTGACGAGTTGGAGGGGAAACTTTGTGACAGCTCCACGGCTCCTGGGGGTGGGGGGCAGGTTTCCTTCCCTTCTTAAGGATTCCCTGGCCCATGGTTGAGGTGTGGGGGCTCGAAATTGTGGGGTCGCGGCCACAGGCGGTGTTCAGATGGGGCTGAGCCCCTCGCCGGAACAAAGCTGCGTGATGCGCTCCTGGGCTCCCTTCCGCGAGCCCCAGTGCCCGCCCGGCTACTGGGAGGGGGCTCCCCCGTCCGCCTATTGTGCGTTTTAGAGAAACCTGAACATTTTTTCAAGTTTCCTTAAAACAAAAGCATTCCCAACTCGGGAATGATGTGTCATAGTAATGCGTCCTTTTAGCCCAGGGTGGCCAAAAATGATCTAAAATGGCTTTAAAAAACAAGCAGGAAGAAGTTCGGTCAGGAAAACCCCCTGGAGGCTTTTTTAACTCCCAGTGTGTGGTTTTGTTGAATTCTCGCTTTGGGATTTGCTCCTTGCTTTGGGATTGCTCTTTGGCTGGCCCAGCCGGGCGCACCGCGGACTAAGTTTTTAAAGTTCCGTTCCTCTTGCTTTTCCGGAGGGGAAAGGGGTCTCCTCAGGAAACTGGTCAGGTTAGGTTTGCTTTTTCCTGATTAAACTTTCCCTTTGATCTTCTAGAGTCTGCTTTAGTCGCTTTTAGATTTTTGAAATCCAGCTTTACAACCAATTTATCGCGCCCCCCACCCCCTTCTTGATTTTTCAAAGTTATTCAGAAAAAGAAAGTGCAGCCTGGAGACTGCTTCCCACAGCCGCGGGATCCGCAGGCCATCTTGTGGCTTTTCCCGACAGCATTTCCTTGTATGTGGATGGAGTAAGAGGCTTGTGATTCTGTCCCCCACCCAACCACATTTTTTAAAAGTGTAAGCGGCAGAGCAGGAGGTTTGGAAACAAGTCGTAACCGGGAAACTTTTCAAAAGGCTCTGTTACAGTAGGAAATGAGTAACGAGGAAAAAGCCTTTTTGTTTTTCCAAGTTGAGCCACCATCAGGAGGGAGAGTTTTAATGAAAACAGCCCTGACAGCAGAAAGCGTGGTTTAGCCGTGGCTCTCAAGCCTCCACTTCCGGTTCCTTCAGCTTTTGTGCATATATTGGAAATATTTGTTACCAGATCCAGAGGCTTGGAGTTATTGTTCTTTTTCTTTTTTCCTCTCAGATGAACAGCGAGCAGAGTAAAGTCGCTCCCAGTTTGGTTGGTGTTGCTTTTGTTTGTCACTAACGCATTCTCAGAGCAGGCTTCTTGTCAAACTAAACTAGTAGATCAAAGGGCGGGCGTCAGGGGTTTTTCGGTTTGTCTCCAACTTTTTTTTTGGTCTCCAACTCTTTATTACCGACTTGCAGTCGGGAATTCATTGTTCCTTGAACAAATTTTCATTTTCTAGATTAAAAAAAAGAGGAAAATAAAAGCTTTGGAGAACTCTGGCTTTTCAGACGTTGGAGAGTTTAAACAAATTGCTTTATTCAGATTTGCTTTGGTGGTTCAATTAACCCGACACGTGTTCAGAAGTGAGATTCCCCTAGTTATCAAAGCAAATGTGCAACAGGAACTCACACTTGTAAGGTTTTATTTTTATAAATAGTTGTGTACCGAAATTCTAATAGAGGTTTTTGAAAGTTTCTCAATTTTCTCAGCAGTGAAAGCGGTTTCAGTTTTAAACGTGCCCTTTCTTTAAACTTTGGGTTTTTTTATTTCTTTCTTTTTAGATACTGCTTAATTAAATCGTCGGGGGAAGGGAAACTTCAAATAACATGGCAGTTAAAGCCTGGGATTCTTGTGTGGTTTATTTATGGCTGTTTGTTAAGCCTTGAGCTACAGTGACTTGGCAGAATCGTCCGCCTCCTTTGTTAGAACTTGCTTGCTCTGTGGAGGGTTTTTCCTTTCCTGTAGGAACGCCCTCCCACACCTTCGGCCCCCTGCAGCCCGGAGCTAAAACTGTGTCACCAAGCCCAGGCAGCCCTTTGCTGGAATTCAGAGTGCTTGGGAAACACGGATGGTTTATCCTTAGGAAGAGTATTTTGTTTTTTATTTCCTATCACTTAAAACTGGTCATTTTTCTTCCACCAAAATTACATACCACAGGAAAGTTTACAGAGCTAAAAATTCATACTTTTTAAAGTGAATTTCCCTAATATTAAAGTAGTGGTGTTTTTAAACATGCCTACAGTTGGTAACTTATATTTTTAAAATTCTCAATTGTCTTTTTAAAAATGTATTCAGCCATTCAGAGTTGTGGTTTTGAAAAGTAGGGCTAATGGCATTTGTTACTTAAAATTTTTAAGGTCAAAATGAAACTCAAATGTGAAGATCAGGCAGGTCTTGAATTTTTAATGAAATCAGTGTGTCAGATTTAAATGTTGTTATGCTTGTGAATTCTTAAAATTTCTGATAGGATTAAAGTACTTACTACCAAAAGAACTTCCCTTGGGAGATGCATATTCAGTGTTCTTTGTCATGTAAGAATTTAAGTCTGAACTCAGCTATTTACATGCATAGTAGTGTATAGGCTGGTATGAAATTGGCAGCTGAAATTCATAGAAAGTATTAAATTTATTCACTATTCAGTTTCTTCTGACATCTTACTAAAGTCTTAGTAGTAGGAAAATATTTTTGTGTAATGAAATTGAAAACTGCAGTGGTTTTTTAATTAAAGGTGACCAGTACTGTCCATTCAAAGTTGAGGCCTAATTTTGAATAAGTGTAAATAGCAATGAATAAGAAATGCTCTCGGCATTAACAGAACATCCTAACAAGTATTTTACCTTTAGAATACTAACGGGTTAGGTGTGTGATTTTCCCTCTTTTATTGGTGAAAAAAATGTCCAAATCCTCCCTTTCAGGGACAGGAGGAGGATTAACATTTAAAACTGTCCTTACCCCTTACATTGCTATTCCTAGTTAGCAGTGACCCTAAGAGGTTATTGGACACATTCTTATCACCTAATACAATACCCTTCCTGTTTTAAATGTAGCAAGTTACACAGTCTGGGTGCAATTGGTAAACTTTCTGAGCATTAGCCAAAGAAATGTGAGACTAAATCCCGGAGCACAAGTATGAGGAAGGGGCTGAGAATCTCCTCTGTGCTGCCAGCCACTTCCCTTCTGGAGGCAGAAAACACCCGTGCTTTATTTCGAGCTCAGTGGCTGGGAAAACTCAATCCCAGTGACTGGTCGGATCAAATGAGCTCAGCCGACAGAGCGAGTGACAGCGGCCTTTGTCCTTCCCTAGGTGTCGTCGCAGTGTCCGGAAGTGAGACTGAGGATGAGGACAGCATGGACAGCCCCCTGGACCTTTCCTCTTCCGCCACCTCCAGCAAGAGGAGGAGAAGGGGCAACCTGCCCAAGGAGTCCGTGCAGATTCTGCGCGACTGGCTGTTCGAGCACCGGTACAATGCCTACCCTTCGGAGCAGGAGAAGGCGCTGCTGTCCCAGCAGACTCACCTGTCCACACTGCAGGTACGGCCAGTGCTGGGGACTGCTGGAGCCCAGGAATCCAGGGCCTTGGCCCGGCTAGGCCAGGGCTCTGCCTGGAGCGGCTCCCCCAGGCTATGCGCGTATTTTTATTTTCAAAGTCATTTTATAGCATGAGGCACCTCCCCACTCAAAAAAAGAAGGCATACCTTTATATTGTAAACTTTATAGTGCTAAAAGCTAATAAGTGGCTATTTAGAGAGAACAGAAACACTTGACAGTCACCTGCCAAGCAGCATGTCCTTTAATGCCTGAAAGACAGCTTTCCTCCGTGCTATGCCACCGACATAAAGGGGAGGTGAAGCCTTCCTCTATTGCCCAGGAAACTGGTTTGAAATTTAAACAAGGACAGACTTCAGTGAGGTAATTCATGTTCAGTCTGTTGACACAGTCATTTGAACTGGGGGAAATCAGTTACTGGAGGTGTGGCCCTCTTCACAGAGGAAAGGCTTTCCTGTAGCTGATTAACTCAGGTGCTGGGCCAGTAGGTAGCAGGGTAAAAGGGAGAGTTAAAGGTGAACCTTCCAAGGCACTCTGGGGCAGACTTTGGGGCAGCGAACCTCCCCTGCTGGCAGGATTGAAGGCCAGTGAGCCCCTCAGCAAACCTGGTTAGAAGGTGGCTTCTGGCCTGCTCCGTTCGGAGGGAGGGGTCCCCCAGGCCTGCAGGGACCCCTCACTCGGGGCCAGGCGGGGTTCAAGGTCCCGCTGTGATTGCAGGTGTGCAACTGGTTCATCAACGCGCGCCGCAGGCTGCTCCCAGACATGCTGAGGAAGGATGGCAAAGACCCAAATCAGTTCACCATTTCCCGCCGTGGGGCCAAGATTCCTGAGGCCAGCTCTCTGGAGGCCGCGATGGGCATCAGAAACTTCATGCCAGCCCTGGAGGAGAGCCCAGTTCATTCCCTGGCAGCCGGACCCACCCCGCCCCTGGGGCAGCCACTGTCGCCCAAGCCCGCGTGCCCGGGACAGCTGCTGCCGCGCCCCTCGGTGATCTGCCACACCACTGTGACTGCCCTGAAGGACGCGGCTTTGTCCTCCTGCTGCCAGCTGGCGGGCGCGGGGCCCGGCCCGGAGACGGCGCTGGGGCACCCGGAGGACACATGTAAGTCGGGGCCCAGCGCGAACCCGCAGAGCGGGCTGTTCAACACACCCCCGCCCACACCCCCGGACCTCAACCAGGACTTCAGCGGCTTCCAGCTCCTCGTGGATGTTGCACTCAAACGGGCTGCGGAGATGGAGCTTCAGGCGAAACTAGCGGCCTGACCCCTCTCCAAACATGGTGTGGTTGCTGGGGTGAAGAATTGCATTATTTTATATATTTTTTATCAATATTTGCACAAGGGATTGCTGAAACGTGCTTCCTGTTACTGCGACGTCAATGGAATACAGTCATTCCGAGAACTATAAACTCAAAGCTACTGTAGAAACAGAGGGTTGTCTTTTTTGTAAGTGTTTCTTGGTAGATGATGCATAATGTGAGATGGTTCCCAATATCATGTGATTTTTGCCCCTTCCCTCCCCTCCTTTTTTGTTGGGTTTTTTGTTTCCCCAGACGGTGCAATACTTAGAGAACTATAGCATCTCCCCATTCCCGTGTGGAGCCAGGGTGTCCACAGACTGTCTAATTAATAAATTTTCAGTTTGTTTTTTTTTTCAAACAAGTATGAATCTAGTTGATTGATACCTTTTTTCACGATGTAATAAAGTATTTTCTTTAAAAGTTACTGTCATACAGAGTATTTTGTCCCAGGAGACACTTTTTAAGAACGAGTAGGGTGCTAGGGCCCGGTGAGCAGGACGCTGGGGTAGGGCGGGGTGCAAGTTGGGGGTGCCACTTGGGCTTTGAAGAGCCAGTGGACAACGGGCTCTGTGTATAAACAGGATGTGTGATATTTACTCTCAATAGGCAGCCGGCTCTTACGTCTTGACTTAGAGCCACTGAAATGAATCATGTCATCGATGCTTGGTGAACCACTAAGTTCTCAGTAACCTGTCCTGCATGTTTTAAAACCGGTGGAAAATCTTGAGGCAGTTCACGATGGCTTAAGCTTTCAGAAGTCACCAACACAAGGGATCTCTTCCTGTCCCTTTTCCAAGTTAACCTTTACTCTGTGCTTGTCAGGTAAGGCCTTTGCATTCAGATACAGCATCTGTAGAGCAATCATTTTTCAAAACACTTAAAAAGGGTCCCACAAGGCTCTATCTGGGGCAGTGGTGTTAGAAGATGAGGTACACATTTTGTAGGGTTAGAGGTCCATGAACAAACGGTGCATGAACAAACGGTGCATGGGCCGCCCTTGGCTTGTCACATGCTGCAGAGCCACTCTGCCATCCTGCTTAGGTGCAAATGCTATGTTGCTGGAGTTGAGCTCTCCCAGCTCTGCCTAGCTAGGGACTGTCTCCAGTTCAGGGATTGTTTAAGGAAGGCGGCGGACATTCTCCATTTACCCAGTTTTGGAACCATGTGATGCAAAGTCCTTGCTGTAGAGAAACTTGATAGGTGAGGAGAGCAAAAACAACCAAGAATTGCTAAGGAAATGGAGAGAAGGAAAGATGGGGTTCAATCCCCAGTACCAGGAAAAAGAATGATGAGATGGAAAGATGGGGTGCCCAGCCTGTGGGGTGCTGTTTGCAGAGGGTCACAGACATAGGTGAACCAGAAAAATACAGAGGAGAAACAAATAAGCATAGAGGAATCACAGCTTGGCCTTGCGGTGTCTCTGATACCTGTAATGCTGGCACTCAGGGAGGCTGAGGCAGGACAGTCACAAGTTCAACCCCAGCCTGGACAATTTAACACCTTGGTGAGAGTCAGGCTGGGGATGTAGCTCAATGCAAAGACCCTGGGTTCAATCCCCCATTCTGTCAAAAAAAAAAAAAATCAGCTTGCACCAACAGCTGGATCACAAGTCACAAAGGGAGACAGCGTGTGGCGACACCTGCCCATGTTAGGGTGTTTAATCAGTCACCCCAAAAAGGAAGAAAAGGGTCCATGTGTTTTAACAGAAAGGTAGGGCTGGGGATTTAGCTTAGTAAAGTGCTTGCCTAGCATGCTTGGGGCCTTGGGTTCAGTCTCCAGCAAGAAAAAAACTCAAGGGTCATTGAAACTTAAAGGTCTGAAAGGAAAGTCTAAATTACCTATGTTTTATGTAATTTTTCTGCTCTTGAGGTGATAGAACCCTGATTAATAATAGCTGATGTAAATATATGCCTGTTTTATAATGCAAAGCTTTTTTTTCTATTATTAGTGTCTGATATTTACTGTACAAAATGATTGCACTCATTGTAGGGGATTGGTCCCTGTACATAACACATTTCAGTTCTCCTCTTTTCCCCTCCCTCCACCCCACAGTATCAGATTCATTTATAAAAAAAAGTCCTTATAAAATTATCATATATACAGATTGAAAACCAGGCCAGTAGGCCAAAGAACATATGAAACATGTAAGACAATTGTACTAAGTCAGGGTACATTTGCTTGCACTTGATTACAATACAGTTTTTTTTCTTTTCTATTATCTATCTTTTATTTCATACTTTATATATATATATATATTTTCACATAAGAGAAACCATGTGCTATTTAAGCTATTAAGTCTGAGTTAATTCACTTCACATGGTCTTGAGGTGTATCCATTTTCCTACAAATGACTCAAATTTATCTTTTTTGTGGCTGAGTAGTACTCCATTGTGTATAAATACTGGTTTGGTTTTTTTTTGCAGTACCAGAGATCGAACTCAGGACCTTGCGCTTGCAAGGCAGACACAATGCCACTGAGCTAAATCCTGGGCTCTATATTTTTTAATCCATTTATCTTTTGATGGGCACACAGGCAATTTCTAAGATTTAGCTATTATGAATTGTGCTCCTATAAACATGGGCATGCATGCATCACTGTGGTGTGATGTCCTTAACTCTTCTGGGAAGTTACCTGGAAGGGGAACAGCTGGGTCAAATGCAATTTCAAGTTTTAGATTTTGTGAGGAATCTCCATGCTGATTTCCATAGTGGTTGTGTCAGTTTACAGTCCTACCAACAATGGAAAAGTGTTTCTTTCTCCCCAAAGTCACACCAGCATTTGTTATTGGTTAATTTCTTGAGGGTGGCCATTCTTTATGGGGTGAGATGGAATCTCAGTGTTGTTTTAATTTGCATTTCTCAAATGACCAGTGACGTTGAACATTTTTTCATGTAATTTTTGGCCATCTGTATTTCTTTATCTGAGAAGTATCTATTCATTTCAGATGCACATTTTTAATTGAGTCTTTAGATTTGGGGGGGGATCCAATTTTTTTTTTTTTTTGGTACTGGGGATTGAACTCGGGTCCTTGCTCTTTTGCAGCAGGCGGCGAAACCACTGAGCTAAATCCCCAGCCCACTTTATATATTCTAGATATTAGTCCTTTGTCTGAGGAACAGCTAAAAAACTTTTTCCCATTCTGTAGGTTGTCTCTTTACTCTGTTAGTGGCTTCCTTTGCTCTGAAGTAAATATAAGCCACTGTTTTGAACTGGTAAATATCACTGAACAGGTAAAAAAAAAATGCAGCCATATCAAAGCCAAATAAAAATTTTATGCTTACTATTTACATAGTATATCTTTTTTTCATATATTTTGGGGAGTGCTAGAGATTGAACCCCGGGCGTCATGCATGCTAGGCAAGCACTCTACCACTGAGTTACACCCCCAACCCTTTTAAATTTTATTTTGAGACAGAATCTTTCTAATTTACTCAGGGTGGCTTTGAGCTTGTGACCCTCCTGTTTCAGCTTCCAGAGAAGCTGGGATTATAGGAACATGCCACCACACCTGGCTGTTTAATTTTGGGGGGGTGGCGGCCAGGGACCAAACTTGGGACCTTGTACTTGCGAGGCAGGTGGTACAGAACCACTGAGCTAAATCCCCTCAGGGCTGAGGATTTAGCTCAGTGGTTCCGCCGCCTGCCTCGAAAGCGCAAGGACCCAAGTTCGATCCCCGGTACCAAAAATAAATAAATAAATAAAATTAAATAAAAATAAATCCCTGGCCCTCCTGGCTGTTTAATTTTAACCCATTTGTGCTTTTGTGTTTAAAACAATCTCATCAAGAATATTGTTGAGTCTTGCTTTTTTTTTGGTACTAGGAATCAAACTCAGGGCCTTGTGCTTGCTCTTTTAGAATTTTTTTTTTCGGGGGTTACCAGGGATTGAACTTGGGTCCTTGCGCTTGCACAGCAGGTGGCGAAACCACTGAGCTAAATCCCCAGCCCCGAGTCTTGCTTTTTATCTAGTTCATGATCTCAGCTTTTTGCTCAATGTGTTTAGTCCTTTTACATTTAATGTAATTATTGATATGTTTGGATTCAATTTCAAATATTTTCTTTTCCTACCTTCTAAGTTGGATTTTTTTATTACTTTGTTTTAAATTTTATATTGGTCTATAAACTACACCCTATTATTTTTAAAGGTTATTAAAGAGATCACAATATATATCTTTAACTTGCTACAATTGGAGTATTAATATTATACAGCTTCATATGAAATAGAAAGCCTACAGCAGTAGTATCATTCACCTTCTACTTCCTTTGTTTTTCATATATACTATTTCTGTCTACATAATAAATCCTGCAGAGGACTGTAAACACATTTTTGGGGGCTGGGATGTAGCTCAGTGGTGCAGTGCCTGCCTGGCAAATGTGAGGCCCTGAGTTCAGATCCTGGTACCAAAAAAGAAAACTGAAAAAATAGACTCAAAAAGCCCCGTAAAAAAAAACCTTTTCTACAAGATCCTACAACTTTGGTAAGTCATCCATCCTCCTAAGCAGGGAGATTGTTGGACGCCAAAAAGATAAAACTCAATAGAGTGCCAAAGGAGTGTCACTTGTAGGGAAAATCTCAAGCTTTCACAGAAAGCAACATGGTCAAGGGCCAGGGATTTAGCTCACTGGCACCGCATCTGCCTCACAAGCACAAGGTCCTGAGTTTGATCCCTGGTACCAAAAAGACATACAAAGTCAAGACCATAGTAATGAAGCTGGGTAGAAGAAGGGCTCCAGTTGCTGACCCCTACTGGCACTTTCCAGCTGCACTGGTGACTCACCCCTGTTACGGGTCATTAGAAGAAATATGGTAAAATATAGACCTCAATAAGAGTTTTAAAATTTTTTAGCTAAAATTGTTTTTTCAAATTATTAAATTTTTAATCTTTTTAAAATAAAAAAAATTATGACAAAATATCAGACTTATAGATAAACTCCATTAGTGAAAGGGTCTAAAAGCCAGCAGGTTACAATCACTATTTTAGTCCTTTAAAAAGTTTCTAAACATGGCGCTTTCCCCAACCTGCTTTTTTATTTCAGTACTTATACTTCGATTATACATGCTCTAATTTCTTAAAAAATGTTGTTTATTCTTGCCTATAGGCTGCCAAACTCCGAATGATCATATAGATAAAATCAACAAATGTGCTAGACTTTTTTCAACCAGAATCCACCAGATTGACTTTATAAGAGGGTTTATAATTGCTAAATTACAACACGATTTTTATTTAAGGCCTATTACATTAGCTCCCTGAAGAGAGTCCCTAACTGTGGTCTTCCCTACTTCGACCCTTAGCTCAAAGCAGTTGGATTGAAACTATGCCCTTTGTCCCCTAACCGAACTTGGAGATGCTCTTTACAGAGGAAATTATTATAGACAGCTAAGTCAGACACATCATAGGTCCTTGTGACATAGGTCCGTTGGATAACCCACAGGGACAAGCCATTGTTGGACATGCTCACCATTCCCTAAAAAGGCAATTACATAAACAAAAGGAGGGAGGCCCAGGGATTTAGCTCAGTGGTTCCGCCGCCTGCCTCACAAGCACAAGGTCCCAAGTTCGATCCCCAGTACCAAAAAAAAAACAAAAAGGGAGGGGGACATCTACCTCCACAAGCTCAATTAGATTTTGTTACTTTTTTGTTACTTTCATTTTAAATTTTTTAGATCCACTTAAGGAAAGTAAATATATACAATGATAGATCTACAGATATGTCCGGGACACTAGTGTTGTCAAAGTATGTCCTAACTAAAAGGTAAATGGCTCAATACATAATAACATAGGGGCCAGGGGATTCTTATTTTTCAACAGAAAATAAGATGCTATGGCCATCATCCCCAGAATGGACCACCATGGACTAAGGTGATGGATTCACTGCAAGCAGCACCCTGCGACACCCTGCGGAGAGCCATACAAGGGCTACATCTGAGTGACTCCCCTGGCCTGCTACAGCCCCGGGACCTGCAAAGATCACCAGCCCTGATGCTCTCCGCCCAACGATGAGACCCAGGAGCAAACAGGCCCCAAAGACAGTCTCGGCTCACCCTGGTGCAGCTGCAGTTTCCAAACAGAAGGGGGAGATGCAGAGGACTGTAATACTGCTTACACCCAAAGCAGGCTGTGCAGAGCTAACCCCACACCTGGTTTGTTTACAGAAGTGAGTCCAGCTTCAGCCGACGTGCTGAGGTCAGAGTAACTCGCACTCAAATTCTGTCCCCACAACTAAAACCTCCTGACTAGAAGGACACTGTTCCAATTACAACCATGTATTTGTCTATTCTGCTCCTAACTTGAGAATGCTTTGCCTTGTCCTTTCTGAGCCTTGCTTACATTAATTTCCACAGAAACCGCACGTGGCCCTGCCCTGGCACGTAGCTCACCTTTACCCCAATTGATTGCCAATAAAAGTCAGTGCCTGGACTGGCCGGGCCTTTGTCGGCATTGGTTGTCCTAGCACCCCGCTTTCTCTTCTAGTTCTGTCTTTTAGTTATTTCTCAGGCCTGCATCGTTTACTGGGTGAGATACTAGAACCTAACTGCAGGGGTCTCCAGTAAAACCCAACAAGAGAATGCTCCAATTTTTGCTTAAAACAGGCACGAATTTTGTAAACAAGAGAAAAATACAGCTATGTGGGTTTTAATTTTTTTCTCTCCATTTTTATTTTTTATCAGTCCGTGTTTACAGTACATGATGATCACATTCCCGGTGTCGGCCCATGTACCTTGCACATCTTACTTCTTTCTTCATCCTCTTTCCTACTCCTCCCTCTACTCCATCTCTTGGGGCTCTTCCCTTCTGTGAAAGATCTATGTCCCTACCTCCTATTATCTATCATTTGTTTTGTTCTTTATTTATATTTCATATTTCTCATGTAAGAGAAACCATGTGATATTTAAGCATGTGTATCTGATTTACTTCACTTAACATTACGGTCTTGAGATGCATCCATTTTCCTACAAATGACATGTCTATCCTTCTTTGTGGCAGAGTAGTACTCCATGGTGTATAAACACCACATTTTCTTTATCCATTCATCTGCTGATGGACATACAGGCTGGTTCCAAGATATGGTTATTGAATTATGCTGCTATAAACATGGGTATGCATGTATCACTGTAATATGATGTCTTTACCTCTTTTGGAAGAGGTAAAGATACCTAGAAGGGGAATAGCTGGATCAAATGAAATTTCTACTTTTAGTTTTTTGAGGAATCTCCATACAGGTTTCCATAGTAGTTATACCAGTTTGTACCTACACCAACAATGTCAAAGGGCTCCTTTTCCTCCAGAGCCTCACCAGAATTTGTTATTATTTGATTTCTTAATGACAGCCATTCGTTCTGGAGTAGGATGAAATCTCAGTGTTGTTTTAATTTGCATTTCTCTAATGGCCAGCAATGTTGAACATTTTTTCATGTATTTACTGGCTATTGGTACTTCTGAGAAGTGTCTATTCACTTTTGTTGTTGTTTGAGACAGGGTCTCACTACGTAGCCCAGGCTGGTCTTAAACCCGCATCAATCCTCCTGCCTCAGCTTCCCCAGTGCTGGCATGACAGATGTGTACCAGCACACCTGGCGAAGTTTTTTTTTTTTTGGTACCGGGGATGGAACTCGGGACCTTGGGCTTGTGAGGCAGGTGCGGAAACCACTGAGCTAAATCCCCAGCCCCTGAAGTATTTTTTTAATGTCTGCCAAATACTTACCATTCCGGTGCTCTCCACCCCTCCCTGGGGAGCTGAGTGACAGCTGGTGTCATTCCGCTGAAGTGTGAAGGGTTTCCTTCCTGGAGGGTCGCGGGGCTGCTGGTGCCCAGCGCTGGCTGTGCAGCCCTTTCACTTTCCTCTCTGGCGGGTGCTTCCCTGGCGGAGGATTCTAGGTTGAGCCCGTGAAAGGCGCCATTGTCTGGGGCCTCCTGCTGTCTGGGGCCCACAGCTGCCACCCGGGTTGCTGTACTCTGGTGTCCCCTCTGCCTGCGGCATTGCTGGATGTCAGCAGTTTGGCCTGGATGTGCCCAGGTTTGTGTCTGTGTTTATCCTGCTTGGGGTTCACTGAGATGCTTGGATCTGCAAGTTTATAGTTTCATTTATTTTTTTAACCAAATTTAGAGAAATATTGGCCAATATTTCTAAAAATAGTTTTTCTGCTTTCGTCTTTCCTTTCAGAGGGCCAGTGACTGTAGGCTGCATGAGGCCATCTCACATGCCTGAGGCCGTTCTCCCACAGTTTCTCTGTATTTCAGATTCAATAATTTGCATAATTTGTTTTTCACCTGACTAACTCTGTCTTCAATCTGCTACGGAACTCATCCCTTCATTATCATTTCAGCCGCAAGTTGCATTGCTCACATGCAGATTCCCACTTGATTCTCGTATTTTATCACTTCTGCCTCTCTCCTGAGATTCCCTTGTTGGTTTGTCAGTGTCTCATGTGCCGTTGTAACAGCTGCCCCGAAGCTCGGTCCTGATCATTTTCTGTTGCTGCATTTCGCCTGTGTGGAGGGGATCTGGTGACTTATACTCTGTGCCCCCGGACTGAATTCTGCCACATGGCCCGCTGAGCTCACTCGGCCTGCGGGCCGGTCCTGTCCCCAGCAGTCGGGAGGCTGAGGCAGGACTGCTGCAAGTTCAAGGCCAGCCTGGGCTACATAGTGAGTTCAAGGCCAGCTGGAACTACATAGGGAGGCCCTGTCTCAAAAGCACAAAAAAACCCCAAAGCAAAACAGAAAAACCAAGTAGGCCAGGATTTGAAGCAAAGTTTATAGTCAGAGTTTGTGACTGGCTCTGTCTGAGCTCCTTTTCCAACACACCTCGCCTCTCTTCCCTAGCTTCTCCCCCCACCCCAGCCATGTCCTGGCAGCCACCCCGGCCCAGCTGTCTGCACCCCTGGCCTGAAGGTGAGGCCAAGGCCACAGCTGCTCCCATGTCTTTCTTGGTAGCATTTCAGCCTGAACCCAGGGCGGCCCAGCCACTGAGCTCCACCTGCACCTCTTCCTCATTCTTACATTTTGGGGGGTTTGATTGTTTGGGGTTTTTGTACCGGAGATGGAACTCAGGACCCTGCACTTTCCAGGCAGGCATGACGCCACGGAGCCAAGTCCCTGGCCCTCATTCTTTCATTTTGAGACAGGGTCTCCCTAAGTTGCCCAGCATGGCCTGGACCCTGGGGTCCCCCGGGCAGCTGGGCTGCTAGCTGTTCCCAGCTGAGTTCTCTTTCCCTAAGGCAGACCACCCTTTAGTTTCTGCCTGCTTTTAGTGACTACCCGGCCACAGTTAGCTTTTTATTTGTTCAGTGTCTTGCTCGTAGTTTATGATCGGCACCTAGAGCAGGATTACAGAGAGAAAGGGAGAGGGGAGTGGGATGAGGCAGAGAGAGTCCGCCACACTGGAAACTAGAACTTTACTAGTTACTGTCAATCTCTAAAGCAATGATTTTCAAACGTACCTCCACCTCGGAATCACTTGGAAAGTTTCTAACGAGCACTGTGGCCCGGGTTTGGGAATTTTTAAAGGATCTCTTGGCGACCCTGATACCTGGAGAAGTTCGGGAACCACTGCCCTAAATAATTCTTTAAATCAGCCGTCGTTTCTCAGATGGAGCACTAGAAACTGATCACTCTCTTTACAGACCGAAAGGAAAAAATTTTGTTTGCATACTAGACTTTTTTTTTTTTTTTTGGTACCTGGGATCGAACTTGGGTCCTTCGGCTTGCAAGGCAGGCGGTGGAACCACTGAGCTAAATCCCCGGCCCCAATTTTTTTTTTTTTTAATTTTTTCTTTTTTGGTACAAGGGATCAAACTTGGGACCTTGTGCTTGCCAGGCAGGTGGCGGAACCATTGAGCTAAATCCCCAGCCTGACAATTTTTATAAAAAATATAATTTATACTTACTCTGTTGTTGAATTATTTTGTCATCCAGATCGACTTTTTAATTCAAGGTTAATCTAAATTTGGTATTTGGCCTGGGCTCATAGAGCAGCGGAGACACATATTCATACCCTGTAAAGCCAAGTTCCTAACTAATATCCTGGAAAACAGGGCAGAGGGTAAACATTCATTTGTATCAACCCAGAAATTAAAAGTGTACCTCTGAGAAGTAGCCAGAGAGCAAGAAGTAATGTTTAGAGATCAGAGGTGGAGATCTCATTAAGCTCATTAACAGGAGAATGTGTCAAGTCTTGCGCTCTAAAAAACATGACCTCTAATTAAAAACAGACTGCTTTCTGAGCTGGGTTTTATGATTCCCAGCTGAAAAGAGAAAACATTCAACAATGCTGGCAGCCTGCCGGAGGAGGGAAGCACGTAGGGCTGGTGGTCACAATAACCCTGCTGACAGACAGGGACGCACAATGAAGCCATGACTAAGAACCTTGAGTCGTGCAGGGATTTGACCAAATGTCAAGGAAACGGTTTCTGAATGAGATGTTTTATAGTCGCCAATTGAATGCAACCTTCGAAGCACGGTGTGGCTGACTTACAAATGACTCAAATCCCCTGATGGAAATTTACTCAAATTTAGGAAGAGCCTTGTCACAGCCAGACATTTAACTAATCGCCTACAGGTAAGGAAAATGAAACTACAGAGGGATTTCCGAAGCTAAATCACTACCCTAGGGAGCATGGTAGGCTGCTTCTTTTGATTAAAAAAAAAAATCCCAATTATTGTCTTTGTAAATAATATTAGGGAAACTTATTGATAAGATCTTTGAAATTTACAATCTCAGAACTCTGCTCTTGTCTGAAATTATTTCAAATGTGTGTACGTGTGTAATAATATACTCTGAGGCGCGAATGCTGTCCATGTAAATTTTCATGTGATGCCATAATAGATTGAAATACAATAAAAATAGTCATTGGGGACCGGGGATTTAGTTCAGTGGTTCTGCCACCTGCCTCGTAAGCACAAGGTCCCGAGTTCGATCCCCAGTACCAAAAAAAGTTGTTGGACATTTTTACATATGTTTGTTTGTTTCGGCAGTACTGGGGCTCAAACCCAGAGCCTCATGCATTACCTCAGGCCCTCCTATTACCTCTGGGCTTGTTACCTGATGTGATTATTAGTATTGTGTGGCTTAGTGGCCATCTCAGTTATCTGATTGGCTGTAACATCACAGTGTGTATTCAGCAACCATTACTTTACTTACTAATGGCCTCAGTGAGCAAGTGCTGTATAGTGATGCTGGCCAAGGACTGGCCCTACAATTTTCTTCCTTTAAGTCAAAAAGGAAAAGTTCTCAAGTTCATAAAGTAAAGGGGCAGGGATTTACCTGAGTGGTTCCGGCACCTGCCTTGCAAGTGTAAGGTTCCAAGTTCCATCCCTGGTACAAAAAAAAAAAAAAAATGAAAAGGGAAAAGTCATATGCTGAAGTTGGTAAGATTTAAGCTAAAAACAAATCTATCTTTAAAACTGAAGAAGAGAAAAATAAATAAAACCGAAGAAGAGAAAGCTCGTGCCAACACTTGTCACATTTGAAACTCAGGGCTATGGTTGCCCTGCGTGGGAGTACTGTTCTGTACACGACTCACCCCCAGGCCGACAGCCACAGTACCCGGATATGCCCTCTCTGAAGCCAGCGGGAGTGGATCTGGGCCCCCCTTGAAGGAGGGACAGCTCAGGCCTGCGTCTGCGTGTGTGGGAGAAGCATCATCAGTACACGATCTGGTGCCACCTGTGGTCTCAGCGTCTACTTGGGGGGCTTGGACCTGATCCCCTTCAGAAAAAGGGGGACCATATACAATTCCTAATGCTCTGCTTGACTTACAATTTCTGACTCTACAGGGACTTGAAGGTGATGTGCATTCAGTAGAAATCGTAGCCTGAATTTGGTTTGGTTTTGTTTTCTGAGACAGGATCTCGGTCTGTAGTCCAGGCTGGCCTCAAAGTCACAGCAATCCCCCTGCCTCAGCCAGAGTCACACCCAGATCCTACTTTGACGTTTTATCTCTTCCCAGTCTCACAATACACTTGGCCTTGATGCTGGGGCCGTCGTAGCTCCAGTCAGCCCTGCAATCGTGGAACAGGACTGTGTGTGTTGGCAGTGGTATTTTGGACACAGATATCCAATTAATTGCACAAGATATTCAACACTTTTGTATAAAACAGGCTTTGTGTTACACAGCCCAACCGTGAATGTCTAAGCATAGTTTAAGGCGAGCTTGGCTAAGCTAAGATGTTAGGTAGGCCAGGCACATTAAGTGCATTTCGAATTTAGTCTTTTCAATTAATGGCAGCTTTACCTGGGTGTAGGCCCATCATTAGTTCAGGAACATTTGTATTAGATTAGCCAACATTTTTCAGGCCTGTGTGCACAGTAAATCTACACGATTTGAAACATCATGAAAGTTCTCAGCAAGAGTTCTGACCTATTAATTAGCTCAGTCCAGTCCTATACCTGTACATGTACTAAGATACCACAGTTATACACCAAAAATGTGTACAATTTTTATTAATTGAAGAAATTTAAAAGCTTAAAACCTCATCAAACTGGGGATTTAGCTCAGTGGTTTCGCTGCCTGCTGTGCAAGCGCAAGAACCAGAGTTTGATCCCCGGTACCAAAAAAAAAACCTGATCAAGCTTGGGGGCACAAACCTGTAATCCCAGGTAGTTGGTAGGGTGAGGCAGGAGGATCCCAAGTTTGAAGCCAGTCTGGACAAGTTTGAGGGGAGTGAGAGGCTCCTCAAAATTTTTAGAAAAGGAGTCAAGCATGGTGCACACACCTGAAATCCCAGCACTCAGGATGCTGAGGCAGGAGGCTCATCATGACGTTAAGGCCAGCCTGTGCTACACAGTGAGTTCAAGTCCAGCCTGAAATACATAGTGAGACTATTAAAAAAAAAAAAAACCAAAACATCAATAAAAATTAAAATAAAACAATATTTTAGAAAAGGGCTGAGCATTTGTAGCTCAATGTGAAGGCCCTGGGTTCGATGCCCAGTACTGCAGACAACCAAAAAACAACCTCCTGTGGAAGGACTTGTATGACTAATGCTGTCTCCTGTTAAAAAGTGTTAGAGTAACTTAGAAGGAAAACACATTTATGAGCAGCTCCTATTGTTATTGTATTAGTTGGACACTTTGTGCACATCTCCTTCCTTCTGCAGTCTGAAGGAGAAGAGTTTCCCAGGGTAGAGCTGCTTCCGGGCCTCAGCCAGGTTCAGCTTGTCTGTGGTTCCTGGCTGTCACGGATTCTGCAAAATCAGGCTCTCTCCACTTGTCTGAAACGAAACGGCTTGGAACCAGCCTGGTCTTTCGTAACTGTTCCATGGAGATCTGGGGGTTGCCTTGGCAGGCGTAAGAGCTTCAACTTGTTTTCCTGCTGTGTATCAAGTGACCCCCCCTCCCCCAACACAGCTGCTGGCAGGAGGCTCTGAGGCCTCCTCCTGGATTCCTAAATCTCCTTAATCTCTGATCACCGGGCCCTGACATCACCAAGTTCTCCCTGCCAAGAAAGCTGTTATGTAGCTTCTCCGCTCTGCGAAAGTACTAACACTTAATCTATCACTGAGTGCAATTCATTTCCTTTTCTAGGTGTCAACTTTCTGAGCCTGCTATCTTAAGTTTTTGAGTCAGGGTCTGGATGTGTACCCCAGGCTGGCCTGGAAGTTACAGCGATCCTCCTGCCTCAGCTTCCTGAGTGCTGAGACTACAGGTGTGCGCCTTACCATTTTTTTAAGTAAGCTTTTAAAAAAATTTAGTCCCTCAGAATCTTTTAGATTATCTCCAAGATTATAGTTTACTCTCAATTTTTTTTTCTGTACAAAAATTCTATTTTCTACGCCATATTTCCCCAAATGAGGGGCGATGTGAAGGTGCTTACAGTTCTAAATCCCATCTGCACTCAGCACAGTGAACGTTCGTGAATACCCTTCCCACGCCTCTCTCTTCCAAGCCCAAACCTACCTTTTTATTTTTTATCTTTGGAGTGCAGGCAGAGAGCCGAGGGTTCGGTCGCGGAGCCCAGCGGGTAAGGATCGGCTTTAAAACAAATCGTGCAAGCAGAGAAAACAAACCGTTCCTTTCCCTTCGAGACCCAGGGCCGGGCAGAAAGAAACAGCCGATGTAAATTTACCGAAAGGATCCGCCCGGGAGGGAGCCTGCTCTCCGGGACAGGAGCGGGCGGCCCCTTCCCGGTCAGCGCCGAGAGCCTCGGGGCAGCGCCGGTCCCCGCGCGCAGACGGAAGCAGCTCCTCGGGACTGGCGTGTTCGCTGGCGTGGCTGGACTGCGGGGATCCCTTCCCCTCCTTCCGTCCTGTCCTCTTCCCGCCTGCCCTCCCTTACCTTGTTCTTTTTTTTCCTCCTTCCTTTTCTTTCCTTCCCTCCCTCCACGCCCCCCCCCCCCATTTACTCCTAACTACGCGTCCACACGTGCTTGTCTTTGGGTTTTATGTACCTTCCAAAGCCATGTAATATTGGCTCCCAGAATCTTATGCCTCATGTATTTCCAATTTTAAAAAGTAATTTACTTTTTATATTGCGTTGTGGGTGTCTTTTAATACCACTAGGAGCATGGGAAAAAGAGCGTTGAACTCCTGTGGGAGCATGCATTGTTCTAGAGACCAACAATAAATACATCTCCAAGCAGCTGAAGGGATTAAATGAGGTAAGAGGGCCAGGGATTTAGCTCAGTGGTTCCACCACCTGCCTCGAAAGCACAAGGACCCGAGTTCGATCCCCGGTACCAAAAAACCCCCCCAAAACATGAGGTAACAACGCAGAAACTTTTTTCAAGTTTCAGAGCAAAGCCGACTGAGGGCTGTGTGCTGTTGGATCCCTGTGGGCTGGGCTCGGCTCCTGCCCCGACTTGCTGGTGGGCCGTGTCCCTAACACAGCCTCTGCCTGCAGCCACAGCCTTGGCCAAGCCCCCACCTTAGGCCCACGTTCTCAGCTTCTTTATCTGTTTATTTAGAGACAAGGCATCACTATGTATGCTGGGCTGGCCCGGACTCCTGACCATTCTCCTGTCTCAGTCTCGGGGCTGGGATTCCTCGTGTGTGGCACACGCTGGCCCAGCCTCCAGCTTCCCACAGCAGCAGCCCCATCTTCCTTCTGTCCCGCTTCCCTCTCTCCTTAGAGGGCGAAGGCGCCCTTATACTGGGCAATGCAAGTTTCATTTCTCAAACTAAGCTGCTTGGTTTTTGTGCTTTGCTTGGTTTTTGTTGCTGTTTAACCACTCGTGTCATTCCTACAGTGTTCTACACACTGGTTCTTTCTTTTCTCCGGGACCAGCCAGGAATCGAACCCAGGGCCTGGGTGTGCTAGGCTGGTCCTCTGCCCTGAGCTCCACCCTAGCCCAACCCCATTTCTTAACTTCTGACTGCCCCTTGGCTACCCTAACTGGAATGCTGGGGAGAGTGCTCCACCTGCCTTTGTAATTCTGATCTGCAGTAGTTCCAGCCTTCAATATTTGAGGGAAATTGGTTCCAGGACCCCCTCCCCACAGAACCCAAAACTTGGGATACGAGCATTGAACCCACTGTAGTGTTTGCGTGTGACCTGCACTCCTTCTCCCCTGTACTTTATTTTGGTTTTGGTCTTTTTTGTACTGGGGATTGAACTCAGGTCCTTCTGCTTTTGAGGCAGGCAGTGGAACCACTGAGCTAAATCCTGGCTCCTCCCCTACATGTTAAATCCTCTCTAGATTACTGACATAGGGCAATATAAACACCTTGTAAGCATCTGTTGTGTTGTTCAGGGACAGTGGCCAGAGAGAAGTCCACACGCCTTGTACAGGTACATCTTTTTCGGTACTGGGGATTGAACCAGGGCCTCTGCACTGAGCTGCCTCCCCAGCCCTTCATTCATTCATTACTTACTTACTTACTTAATTTTGAGACAGGGTTTCTTGTTAAATTGCCTGGGCTTGGCTCCAACTTGCCATCATCCTGCCTCATCCTTCCAGAATGCGGGGGTGACGGCCTGCGCCAACCCGCCCAGCCCAGACAAAGCTTTCTGAGTGTTTTCATTCTGTGATTAGTTGAGACCCAGGCTGGCTGGATGTGCAGAGGGGGAGCCAGGGATGTGGAGCGGCGGCGGCACAGCGGAAACTGCTGTGTGGTGTAGAGGGAGCCCTGAGCTTGGCTTCGAAGACCCATGGAGCACTGGGGTGAGACTGGGAGGGCGCTGCCCACAAAGCTACTCTCCTCGTCTCGGACTCGCCCTTCTCCGCACCTGCACTTCAAGGAGCTTTACTTTGGCTCATGTTTCAGTGGTCTCGGTCCTTGCGTGGGCGGCCGACTCCAAGGCAGGACGGCAAGGCACAGGGGCCTGCTGGAAGTGAGCTGCTTGAGGCATGGCGGACAGGAAGCAGAGAGTCAAGGGGGAGCCGGGAAGGGAGCTAAATCCTGGCTCCACCTCCGAACAGGAAGTCGGCTGTAGGCCCTGGATCCACCTACCTTCCAGAGGTCCTGCCTGTTATCTCATGAGGCCTGGGGGACCTGTAGATAGAAACCATAGCATTCTACTCCCGCCCCCAGAAGATTCATGTGCGTCTCTTTATGCAGATTGCATCTAGTCCAGCTCTGAGAGCTGCCAAAGTCCTAACGGTTCCAGCATTGCTGAAAAGTCCAAGTCCAAAGCCTCCTCTGAGACTTAGGGCAAACTCAGCTGTGAGGCCCCTGTGAAAATCAAAGAAATTAAACACTGCTGAAAAACAACGGCACAGAGTAAGCATTGGCATTCCAAAAGGAAGGAGCAGGGGAGTAGAAAGGAATGGGACTGAAGCAAGACTGAAACCCAACAAGGCCGACATTAAGTCCCGTCCTTCCATGCCCAGCCTGTGAGGCAAGCGGCGGTGAGAGGCCAAGCCTAAACGCGTGTGTGGCTCGGCCCCCACAGCATTGCTGGGGGTTGTAGCACTCATGGTCTCTCTCTTGGGCTGACTTTGCTCATTCCTTGTATCTTTCCCCAGACTTTCTGCTTCTCTGGATTCCTGGGGTCTACACTGCACTTTCAGCTTCTCTCACAGCTCCACACACTGCCCTCTTGGGCACACTGCCTGGCCCCCCAGGCCTTCCTCTGAAATCTGGGTGGAAGCCTCCCCGACCCCACAAGCCTTCTGCATGCACCTAAAACCAGCACTAGGTGGAGGATGCCAAGACCCTTTAGCATCAGGGCTGCAGGAGCCTCTGCCTGGATGACTGAGCACTGGGAACAAAATCCCAGGAAGCCAATTTCCTAGGCGTTTCTCCAGCAGTGTTCCCTGGGGCTCTCTTCTCAAAGCAAAGTCTTTCACTTTTCCACCCAGGAGTCTGCAACAGGTAGGATCTTTCAGGTTTCTTCCGTGCCATCAAAACATCCTCTGTATTCTCCTTATGTA